TTTTTTTTACATGTTTTTCTTTCCAGAAAGAGCCCACGGCAAAATTGATTCGGGACATCACACAAGCCTTTAAGGCTGCCGTGGCTACAACGAAGGGTGACTCTGAGGAGCTGTGTCGATATACTATCTCAGACAGCGCGGGTAACTAATCGGCTTATTTCAGACACTTGCGTACAGAACCGAATATGTTTAATGTGCTCACTGACAGCCTCTACCTGTTTCCCGTTACAGTGTTCAATTCCCTTGTCCTGTTCTGCATAAAGGACATGCATGCAGCTCTGAACAAAATGCTGAAGCTGAAAGCTCCAGAGCAAGGCCAGAAAAAGTACCAGCTCTGTTCCTCCTGCTGTATAGATAGATGGTTGAATCGGTTAGATTTCTTCACGTAACATTGTGTTAATCTGTATTTTCAGATTAATACTTCCATCTTCAAGTCCCAGGTGGCAGAAAAATCAGATTGATATTAAGATGTATGTTGCTGGTGTTGTTCAGGTAGATTTTTCCCCACATCTTTGTCAGTTATTTTTTTAGCTGGTTCTTGAATCCCAGTACTAAAGTGCGATACATTTTTTTTCTCTCCTCAGCTCCTCTCCAGTTTAACGCAGGCCACAGTCATAGCTGCAGTTCTCCGTCATGCCAACCAGATGGTGCCATACTACCTGTGTCTGCCAAAACAGTGCAGGCACTTGCTCAAAGTAAGCACTGCAAATCGATGGCACTAACTCAGACAGAAATGGTGCTCAGTGAACTGAGATGGATGTTTTTAATCAAACAACAAAAAAAGGTCAGCATCTGTGGTGTTTTTTGTTTGTGACACTAGAGTCTGATCAAACACTGGAGCACAGGAGAGGAGACTGTGAGGGTCCTTGCCTTCCTGGCTCTCAGCAAAATCTGCCGACACAAACAGGAAATCTACTTAAACTCTGTTCTTAAGGTAAGTTAGGTTTTACAACATATCATAAGTTTATTTCTCATGTGATGAAATTTTTTTTTGCACTGAATGTTCCTGACCGCAATGTGCATTACAGTGGTACTGTCATATATTGCTTGTTTTCTCAAATAACATAAGCAGCTAGAGAATATGAGTTGACTAAAATTATTGTGCACATAGTGAAAATTGAGTTGAATATCGCAACTGATGTTATGCGGTTAGAATTATTTACTGATTTATACATTTTTTTTAAATGTTTTTAATTATGCTCACCAAGGCTGCATTTATTTTTATCAAAAATACAGTGAAAAGCGGTAATATTGAGAAATGTTACAAATTAAAATAATTACTTTCTATTTTAATATATGTTCAAATGT